TAGGATTACTTTTTTTTGGAATAGGAACAATTTCAGCATTTTTCCAAGATGATGGAAAACTACTTGTGGAAATGGAGAAGTTAAGGATATGACAAATAATAGGAAGAATAATATCGAGAATGGGAAGAATCATGTTACGACTGACACAGTCACTTCCCACTGCATTGGAAGTAATAGATAGAACGCTCTTCTTAACATCACAAGCAGAGAATGGTTTGAAAACAAAAGAAGAATGATTGGGAGTGGGAATAGTTGAAAGATATGTTAGTGTATTAGTCTTAGTAGTGTTATCTAAACAGGACGAAGAAGAGAAATGTTTATTTAAACCATTAACGTTTAAATCTTTTGACGTTGGACTATTCTTAGATTTCCCAACACCCAATGATTTAAGAAATTTCCAGACCTTTGCCGTATCACAATTTTCGACTGACTTATGAATATGAAGGCGTTGAGCATCCCTACACACCTTATTGCAATGATTGCGAATATTAATATATTTTTCCCTATTAAACGCATTCGGCTTACGTTTAAACTTAGCTTTAGCTATCGCTTTTTTATTGATTATAGATTTAATATCATCAGTAAGCCAAGGTGATGGACGATGTTTAATTTTGACTACGCGTGCAGGTGCATGCACATCAAAGATTTTTATAAGGGCAGAAGTAAAGATTGAGACCTTATTATCCAGATTATCTGCGCTATAAAGATTTGACCAGTCCCAAAGCAACGCATCCTTACGAAGACTGTCTATATCCATGCCACCAAAATTACGCTGCAGTAACATTTTTGGTTTAAATTTGGGAGATCGAGTTTTATAAGATAGAAAGATTAGGTCATGAAATGAAAATGCATCGGCCGTATATTGACCGTGCTTCGTGACAAAGTTACAAGAGGAAACAAAAATAAGGTCAAGGAGAGACGGCATCGAGTTTGGAAAATGATGCGTGGCATTTAACGGTAAAATAGAGAGATTACTAGAATATAAAATTGACTTAAGAGAAGAAGCCCTGGCATCCTGTTTAAGTAAGCAAGTGTTAAAGTCGCCCATTATAATCGTATGTGAATAGGAGGGAGTAAGTTTATCTAAGATATTTTGGAATGAGTTGAAGAAGTCAATACGCATAGAAAGGCAGTAATACCTAATAATAACACCAAGAAGAACTTTAGAGTGAGATAGTGTGACTTCAATAAAAATATGCTCACCGGCATCAGGCGGCGGTGGTTGTGCAGATACATCGACAATAGTGAAAGGAATGTGTGAACGTAGATAGATGGCGACACCTCCACCGCCACCTACCGAGCGATCGTTTCGTATTAATTGGAAGCCAGGAAGATTGTAACAGGTAGAAGGAAGACAGGACTTCAGTCACGATTCAGAAATAAGAACAGCATATATATTTTTAGAAGTAAAAGTTGTCAGCATATCAGGGAAGTGGGCCGGAATGCTCTGTGCATTTATATGAACAACGTTGAAGTTGTTAGGGACATCAGAAAACTGCGACGACAAGAAACTCTGCGAGAGGAGTGGAAATAGATAGGTATCAATGTTAATTAACATTGATACCATAAGTTCGCAGAAGTTATCATTATTAGAGATGTTGTCATTCCCCAGTAAAGCACACCCATTTGGAAGGGAAGAAGGAGGGTTCTCAACAATTGCCTGATGGGCTGGCTTATCATATCCAGAATTTGATGATTGTCTGTAAGTATGTTGAGGAATAAAGATTGTTTTTTTATATGATGTACATTGTGAAGACTGAGCCGAAGGAGCTGAAATACTGTCATTTATGGGATAAGGGGTCTGATGAGAAGAATTACGAGGCAGACTTCTTGTTGCGTCAGCAAAGGATCTTCGTACCAGAGGGAATCTAGTTGAAGCTTCTAAATATGATAAATTTTCTTGTGACATAACTATTTTAATAGATTTTTGCCTTAGATGTTCAGGGCAGGTAGGGTCTTTTGCTGTGTGGGGTCCTGAGCAGAATAGACAAGTAGGAGTTTGCCTAGTACATGATCAACCTTTTCTGTGCACATATAAAGCAGCGAGGGGATGATCAGCACTAAGAAGTAACATGGCCAAATCTGCAACATTTATGACCTTGAATGAGTGGCAGAACATATTTTTCTACTGGCATAGAGGTGTAAAAACAGTAAATATGTGGTGGAAGTTTTTGTCCAGAAAAAGTTAGAACTACTGTTTGAGTTGGAATCCATGAAACGTTATTGCTGTCACTCACTGATCGTCTATTAAGTCGGCGAGCTTTAATTATAGTACCATATCCAGAGTGAATTTCTATAGCTGCTATTAATTCTTGTAATGTCCACTCTATAGGAACTTGTCTGACTAGCCCCATACGTGTGATATTATATGAAGGGATAGTTGTTTCATATTTAGAAGTCTGAAGAGCTGGGTGATCAATAAAAGTGTTTGCATGTCCAACTTTTTTGACGCCGTCACAAACTATAATTTTAATGTTATTATGATACAGAAAGTGACCAAATTTAATTGGTTTGAGAGTTACTCCGGACACTTGATCATTTGACGTTTTACTTACGTGAACTAGAAAAGGCCGCGCCTTTCATCTTGAGAGTACTTTACTTTCTTATTAATAAAATCAGGATGGGTATATGAGGAATTGTATTGAAGGAAACTGTTGGTTTGGATCAGTAATAACTATTTTTTGTGGATGGGCAGACCCATTGCTTATTTGGGCGCGTTTACGATTAATAGATTCTACATTATCAATGGGTAAAGTAAAGGAGTCATTGTCAACCCTTTCGGGATCGAGAGGTTCGTCCTCCATTATATTTCTATAACTAAAATTTACATAAAAACGGCACAATTAAAAACACTTACTATTCTACAGATGTTAAAACCACCACCAAGACAAAAAAAAAATACTATAGTAGACTTAACAGCACTTAATGTAACAATAAATTTAAGCGAAAAAAACTACGACACTTGTATCTCTCACTTAACCTCAAAGCAAAAAAAACCTAACCTGACTCGATCCTTTTTCCTGATTCCCATCATGCTTCGCTCCATCGAATGCTGGCATATGTTTAATTTCTTACTGTTCAATTTAGTAGGGGCCCATGTTTGACATCCGTATATCAATACAGGAAGAATGCATGTGTTGAATACTTTAGATTTAATCAATATGTGCAGTTATTTATCTTTCACTATTTCCTTCATGCTCCAATATCTTTTCCATCCGTTTGCTACTCTCCTGTTGATTTCTTTTTCCATGTTGTCTGTGGGTGAGATAATTTGGCCCAGATAGATGTATTCATCCACGTATTCTATCTCACTTTGACCAACCCTGATGGTTTCATTCTTAGGTCCGTTGGTCATTACTTTCGTTTTCTCCATGTTCATTTTCAATCCCAACGTGTGACTTTCTAATGCCAGATCATTTGCCATGACATTCAGTTCATGTGAGGTTTTTGCAAAGAAAACTATGTCGTCTGCAAATCTTAAATGTGTTAACCGAGTTCCATCGATGTTGATTCCATATCCGTCCCAATTTAGTCTTCTAAATATCATTTCAAGGGCTGCAGAAAAAGTTTTGGGGATAGCGGGTCGCGCTTTTAAATTTAAATTTTGTATGTTAATAATAAATAAAACAACCACAATAGATATAAAAAAGATTAATTATCGCTAATGAACATACGAAACGAAGCGGAAGAGGGGTTGCGTATAGAAGTGCACAGTTAAGTTGGACGAGTTGTAGATTCTTTTTTCACACGTCTGAACTTCTGATTCTTGCTAAATTGTAAAAAGTGGATAACTATTATTATGGCCCTATGTAAAACATATTATATAAAAATAATGTATCACAGAATGAGGGCTATTCTTATCGGTAATAAAATTAATAAATAAATAAAATGATGTTGTTTGAGGACTTGGCACAATAGTTGTCACAATAAAAAAATTGGCACTTTTGCAGATGACTTGAAAGATTGGAAATTTGTCATACTACCCGTTCATGCCAAGTTTGCCACCAACAAGGTGACATCCCTCATTAGGTAGTGTTAGCAAAAAGAAAAATTAATAATTTTATTAGTCGGTAATAATTAGTGCAATCAGGTAAAATTAGTAATAGTTCAGAGTATGTATATATAATATATAGGCATATGGTGAAGAGAAATTAATGTAAAAAAATCTCAAACATTCTGTCCTTTTCTGCAGACTTCCAAAAAGGAGATGGTATTCAATTTGACTGTATGCTTTTTTTTATGTGTGTTACCTCATAACTTTTTACTGGGTGAACCGATTTGGATGATTCTTTTTTTATTTGAAAGCTGGTACTTCTCGTGTGGTCCCATATGAATTTGATCATAGTCAGACCAATAGTTTTTGAGTTATTCTTAATAACTCATATTGAAGTGTCTGTACAAAATTTTTAATTTTAAATTATTATCATTTAAATTCATAATTTAAAATTAAAAATTTTGTACAGCCGACTTCAATATAAGTTATTTAAGAATAACTCAATAACCATTCGTCTGACCTTGATCAAATTCATATGGGACCACACGAGATCTATCAGCTTTCATATAAAAAAAGAATCATCGAAATCGGTTCACCCAGTACAAAGTTATAAGGTAACACACATAAAAAAAAACATACAGTCGAATTGAGTACCGTCTCCTTTTTGGAAGTCGGCAGAAAATGCGTGGTAACACATTATTTTAACTGATTTTACTGCGCACGCACACTTTCATAAATAGGCATAAATGTTGTTGCCCATAAATCACATAAAATTTGTGATAATTTCAAAAAAATAGAAGCCCCATTTACACGTATTTTCAAAAACTTCAATAACGGTATATATTTATTTATATATTAGAACTTAACTTTAGAATTTGGCTACTCTTTGAAAAATAACCCTGTATATGTATTATGTATGTATGTGTGTGTTTATTATATGATTTCTCTCTCATCAATCATAACGTATATACATATTATTTAGTACTTAAATGTTATATTATTGCAGTAAATATGTACCACCTACAGTAGCCAATGAGAAGAAAAAAGACAAAAGTCCTGCTCGTGTCTCATGCAAGGAGTGCCAACATCATCATGAGCATGCTGTCCTCCCACAACATTGCACCCAGTGAGTTTTCACTTTTGTAATCAAATAGTTGTACATACAATTTTTTTACATAGTAGAGCCACGCTGCGGCTATATGGTAGTAGCACTAACAGGTCGACTCAATCTGGTAATGACCACACTCTCACAGAATACCAGTGTGAAATATTAGTTTAATGTTAGTGTGTTTTGTATGCTGAGTGTAGAGAACCGGACACCCTTATTATTGGAAATAAGTCATTCCATCTTAGTCGTCAAGGGTGACAATGCATATGCATTTTGATTCTTAATTTAGATGTCTATAGACCACAGCATCCATGTACCATCCGGTAGCCTGTGTGCTTGTTTGTTACCCTTATTCTATTAAAAAAAAAACTTAAAAGCTCACCGTAATTTGACAATACGCGAATCATGCGACCCTCGTTTTTGCAATTATAAGTGCTGATTGTGACTACATGTTCAGCATATAATGAAAATTGTAAGAACTGTGCGAGAAATAAAATATTGCAATAGCATGTGGATTCCAACATCATCAACATAATCATCATACAGCCTTTCACATGTCAACTGCTGAACATAGGCCAAGTTGATCTATGTTCAGCATAACATAGGCCAAGTTGACCTATGTTCAGCATAACATAGGCCAAGTTATGCCACGAAGCACGGTCTTGAGCCACCTGCATCCATCGACTGCCTGTATGCCTTACCAGGTCGTCACTCTGTAGTATCTACATAGTATCTATACGTATGTTTGGGTATAATATAATATATAAACTTAACAATAACGTAATTACAGACAGTCTTACGTCAACACTCAAGTGTTTCATTTCCCTCGTCCTTACATGGCGACCCTGCCAGGCGGTGCGCTGCGGCAATGCAAGCGCACCGCCGGGCCTATTTAAAAAAAAAATGGGAATAAATATTGCTAAATTAAATAAAGAAGACTTGAGTAAAATAATTGACAATAAAGTAATATTACAACGCAATGAATACAACACCGGACGTGACGAAACATAAATAAATATAAATTCGAGAAGAAGCCACAATAACACAATAAGAATTTTATAGAAGCTGACTGAAAATTTAAAATATATAATATATAGTACTATGAAGACAACTAACGAAGAATGAGGAAATAAAATGGCGATTTTTTTAATATGATGACCAAAGTTCAAAATTCAAGAAACGGCAGATTAGTTTTAAAAGGAAAGTAACAGTTGTACTTTTGCAAGCTTCATCTAGAAGAATATGAAATATGAGCCAAAAAGAACAAAGAAAAAAAATTTGAGGTAACATCGCATAAGTCTACTTTTGTCATTTCTTTATAAGATTTCTTTAAAAAGTTTTAAATATTATTAAAAAAAAAGTTATATACTAAATATTATGTATTTCATATATGTTTAAGTTGAAATTAATTATTAGATATTTTATATTAACGATTTATTTCTTATTTTATTATTGTTTAAACAAATCATATTACAATAATTATAAATTAAGTTACGTAAGTGCGTCAGTGGCATTTGTATTAAAGCACTAGACGATTTTATATTTACTTTTATTCAGTAATTGTTTTGCAAAGAAAATTATGAAATAATACGAAAGATAAAATTTTTACGCACTTAATTTCACCAAATTTATTGTTAAAATAACAATGTGATACATTTCGTTGTTTTTTTTCTGTAGACTTTTAATATAAAATTATACAATTCATTCAACAAACTAATTCTACACATTCAACACCATATTTTTTTTATTATGTTTTAGACTATATAAAATAAAAAAGTACATAATGCATTTAATATTAAATGTACGTTATTTACAAGTAACTTGAAAATATTTGCCACATTTTAACATTTTATAATATTTCTAGTAGGTATTGTATTCTATAGAAAATTCAATATATTAAGCTACATTTTACGATGACCTGGTTCGAATTAAAGCAAATATATTTTTAAATTTAACCCAAATTTATTTCTGCAGTAATTTTTATTTAAATGTATATAATTTTGAAGGATTTAAAAAAATCGCTATTAATAAAAGTCATAACTATTTTCTTCTTTTCTAAAGGTACCTTGAAACAATTTTAAAGTTATAAATAAATAAATATATATTCTTTAATAAATAACCTTAAAGTTAATATAACCTACTTAAAAATGAAAATTGTTCTTCTCAATGTTTAAATTAATTAATGTTTTGTTTATATAAACTTGGTAGCCGCTATACTGATGACGACTTATGTTCCCATTATTGTTTCTTTGTTTAATTTGAATATGAAATGGAACAATTTTTCATTTCGATTTTATATTTATTGAACTTTTAAATCAAAAACTTTTAATTTTTATAATTCATTTATTTCCTGGGAAAGTGATAAAGTTTGGATTATTTAACTTATTTGTATACATGAGAAAATAATTTCTTCAATTTATTTATTTCAATTTTGTTGTGATCATTGTGAGCCTCATTCCCTGACTGAAAATGATGTACATACCTAAATACTACAAGAGACCATATAAGAGACTCATTTAATAAATTTGTAAAGACGTGAGTTAATTTATGGCTACTATATTAAAGGCTAATATAATTAACTAAGAAATACGGAATTATTAATGAAAAATATTAATAGAGTGTAGTTGTGAGAATAAGGCAAGTAAAGAAAATTATCGGAGATTAGCATATCCACATACAATCGGCCTGATCAGCTGAGAGTTTGGAAAACCTAATAACCGAGTAATTTTTTTAAGGTTGTTCGGATGCGATTAACGACGTAATGAGCTTTAATGACGCAATGATAATTTATTATGTATTGTATAGGAATAGTGTGCATATTCTTTATCATGTATGTACGCGACCATGTACATGAAAGTATATTATGGTACAATTAAATAATGATTAATAAAATACTATAAATGTAAAGAAATAAATAAAAATAAAACACGTTGACCTTGACGAACAAATAATGGAGAGATACGGGAACGTCCATTACTGGTATAGCATATAGTCCTCGAGCAGGGTATGCTTCCATGATTGGATGAAAAAATCGGAAGTATCGGGTACTAGGGAACAATACCTTCAGTACAAGTGAGATGTGAACAAGTTTACTCATATTAGTACTCTTGGGGTCAAGAGAAGTCTTAAATTTGTTACCCTTTATAATGGTACATAGAGGTCACATCCTTCATTGGATCATAGTGTGAACTTAGTTTTTCTCCGTGACAATTGTTGGAGTCCTTTTAAAATGACTTAAACGTAGACCTCAAGGTTGTGCGCACAACCCAAGGTACAGTTACCTTGACAGTATAGTATGATACAAAAAAAAGTTTATGTACCAATAAAATGAAATGAATGTTATGAAAAATAATAATAATACCCAAGTAAATGGGGAGCCCATATTTATAAAGTACCCGCGTGATAAATATCACAAAATAAAATATAAATGAAGTGAATTAATACTCCGATTCCCGGTATCTAATTAATAAATAAATATATAAGGGAAGAGAATACTCAAAGAAATAAAGCTAGCTAAACGTCAAAAACATTAAGAAAGAAAAGAAAGTACGTACAAGAATTATGAAATAAATAAATAAGGCCTGACAACCGAAAACAAAGGAAATTAGATTAGTGTTAGCATGAAAATAACTAACATGCAAGGACATGAGAATAATTAAAATGAGGTAATAAGGGGATCTCCGACAAAATCTAAAAGTGAGATATGTAGTTATTTTGCATTTCTGTATTAGAGCTATTAATGCTACCCAAAATGCTACTCACAAGTTACACATGTACCGAGTAACTATATTATCGATCCACATAACCACACGTAAACAAAAAAAAAATTAATCAAAAATAATAAACACATTTTCACGTACATACTTAATTATTTTACCATATTTTATATGAATTTACAAGATTTTTTCATATTTAAATTGATTTATATTTATAATAACCATTAGTTTTACATAAAAAAAATGTTTATTTATGTAAAATTTGTACAATTTTAAACTAAAATTCGGTAATCCAAAGTGTATTAATTTGCTATTTATTATAAGTTTTTTTTATTTTCTACAATGAAACCAAAAATTATATGATTATATACTAAAAAAAAACTTTTCTTTTCTAATGTTAATAACATTTTATTAACATACAACATATATTTTCTAATACAGACTTATATATGTGTAATAGCCTATCTTTTTTACAAATTTGTGTTTCAAATAAGATAAACATGTTCCTTAAAAGTCATGAAATCTTAAAAAAAGTAATATGTAATACGTTGCCGACTATTAATGATAAAAATAACACATTTTACTTGACAATGTAAAAGTATTACAACAATGCAATATAATCTTAACAATGTAAATGAAAACGTGTTTAATACTATAAATTTTAGATATTTTTAAGTGTATTTATAATAAAACATTTTGTAAGTTATGTTGAAATTAGGTATCATCATACGATGTAATCGCAAACCTTCTCATAAACGTACTTTGGAATTGAAAACAAAAGTGTCACAAATCGCTGACGCGACTGGGATTGCAATTTGTATTTTGATCTGGTAGTTGTTATGATAATGAAAATGATTACATTGCCTAACATAGACTCCTTTGTTATGTGTATCTTAAAATGAAATGTAATATTGTCGGTTTTATATTTATTGAACCTTCAAATCATATGTTTGTATCTTTATAAGGCAATATTTTTCGAAAAAAAAAAAGTATTAATATTTAAATAATTTGTATGGATCATGAAAGAAATGTTTCATTAAATATAAAGGTATAAATAAATGAAATATATAACTATAAAATTATAAGTATAAATGTGAATAAATATATAAAGGAAGGGTACTATTTAATGTGAATGTCTACATAAATGACTTAATAAGTAACTGAATAACTCAGTATCAATGTGTGTTACAGTGATGTGTCGACCAAAATAATATACGTTCGCGAATGTACACCTGATTTTGTCAAATATAATGCATCAACAATGCATTAAGCCTTAAACATACATATTATGACTACGGAATTATTATGCATATAGGGGGTTTGTGGCCAGCCACCCTACCCAAGCCAAGACAAATATTATTATATACATAATTATAATAATATAAGACTTTATTTAACATTAACTTTTTACTATATAAAAAAATATGTAATATTTTTATATATATTTTTTTTTGTCGGTATTTTTCATATAATACTTCCGTTCAACTAAGTATACCCCATTCGAGTTAGTTTATGGCAAAAAATGTAATTTACCCAGTAATTTAACTAAAACCGTAGAACCCATATATAATTACGAAGATTACCCGTTAGAGTTCAAATATTGCCTACAAACCTCCCAAAAGGAAGCAAGAGAAAATTTAATCAATAGTAAATTTGTTGTAAATCCAAGTATGATTATAAAATGAACACTAAACTTATAAAATTAATGATTTGATATTAGTTAAAGAAGAAACTGGTAACAAACTCAGCGCCATTTGTGCAGGTCCATATTTAGTAATTAGAGATTGTTCACCGAATGTTGAAATACTAAAAGATGGCAAAAATTACATTATTCTTTTCACATTTATTGTGAACACATTAAGTCACTTATAAAAATTGGATGATACTATCTTTAATAGTTTGTGCATGTGGTGTTTATCTAAATTAATTGTGCATTTGGCTGTAAAACACATGTTATTGTTAAATACTCATTGATGTATTATTATTACAATTACTGGTAAACCTAATAAATAAATAAATAAATAAAAACCGAACTAAATTGCATTATCGTTAAAATAAATGTAATAAATTTATTATAATTTTACATATATATAATACGGCAATAATATTATAGCAATTAAGTAATATATTTCAGACATTGTTTACTTAATCGATTATAATTATAATAAATTAGTGTATTAAGTTTATTAATTAATATTACTTTACCTTAATATTAATTACTAAGTACTATAATACCAATTGTGTTTACATTTTATAAATTAGAATACTTAGGGATATAATTATTGTGTAATTTTAAATGTTAGTATTATATAAAACAAAAAAGAAATGCACGTATTCATTTCTTTTTTTTTCTTTGGGAAGGAAGGTGTAGTATCTACATAGTATCTATACGTATGTTTGGGTATAATATAATATATAAACTTAACAATAACGTAATTACAGACAGTCTTACGTCAACACTCAAGTGTTTCATTTCCCTCGTCCTTACAACTCCATCTAGAGAGGGGTCGCCCTACACTTCTCCTACTGGTACGAGGCTGCCACTTTTTGCATGCTGCAGCTATATTAGTAGTATAGTTGTAGCACGAATGGGTCGGCTCAACCGACGAAGGACCACGTTCTCACAGAATACCACCGTAAAGTAGCAGCTTAAGGCTGCTGTGTTTCGTATGGTGAGTGTACCGGAAACCCTTTTTACTGGAAAAGAGGCATTTCATCTTAGTCCTCGTGGGTGACAACGCATCTGCATTTTGATTCGCAAACGAGGATAGATGTAGATGTCTATGGGCCGCAGCAACCACTTACCATCAGGTGGACTTTGTACTCGTTTGTCACCTTTGTACTATAAAAAAAAATATCTTTATATATCTTGTTTTTTTCTTTCAGGTGTATTAACAATATGAGATTTGATAGGCTGGTAAATCATATTAACACTAGTACAGTGGGGATTCAATGTGTGGCAACAGCAAACGTCAGCGTGCAAGTCACGCAGTCTCCCACCAACCGCCGTCAATTGGTGAGCAGCAGTGATGATAACTTGGCACTATCGAGAATTGCGTCACTACCCGAAAGAAATAAAAAAGGCAAATTTGTAAAAACACAATCACATTTAAACAAAAAATCTGCAGACACCGCAAGAATCACAGAAAATACTTTAGAAGTACAAATGAACAAACCTACGATCACCCATAGCAAACAGCAAAGCGTAGATATTCTTCAGAACAAAATTTTGAGCAATAAAAAACGCAAACGTTCACCAAGCTCTAGTAGCACATCTACTAAAGTCACTTATAGCGAAAAAGAGTCAGCGGATGCAGTTAAAGAATTAGTCATAGAGGAGAAAGACGTAGAACTTTTGCGTAGATTCCTGCTTAAGAATAATTTTGGTGTTGATGTTGAGCAATTTGACAAGAGCGAGGCATACAAGGAGAAAGTGTTCTATAGCATCAATCCACTGGTCGTCATCGAGCGCTGCCCCCGTGTCAAGCAGATGCTTACAGAGCAGCGGAATCCAGCAAACGGAGTGTCAATCAAACAATTCATGACGGTCCTCGGTCTGCAGACTGTTGAAGAACGAAACTCACAGGAACGGAGGTACAAGACCAGATCGAGAGTTTCACAGATAATCAACTCAATGTTACACAAAGATGTATTTATGAGTGAAAATAATAAAGAGAACGAGTCTGTTCCAAAGAAAGCTGAACGTAAAGCGGAGAAGAAGCCATCTAAAGTGCTGAGAGAAGATAACATTAGGTTGAATCATTTGAAATCAGTGTCGCAAGAAATTAAGAAAGGTCCGCCTTCGAGTAGGGCTCGAATATCGAGTCCTCGAGGCGAAGCTCTCCGACCTCGTTTGTTGGCAGATAAAGTGGTGGTGGTAAGCAGTAACAGTAGCAGCAGTTCTGAAGGAAAGGCGTTCCAGGCGCCACCTTCAGCTGCGCCTTCCAGGTAAGTGAGTATTCATTCTTTTTCAATTTCATAAATTAATAATAATAGTAATATTAAAGATGTTAAAAATTTATTAGCTAATACCCAAATGCTTCTTAATTTTAAAATGCCGTTAAATCTCGTGCTGTCTCTATCGCTTTAAGTCAAAGTGACATACGTGGTAGAGCCATGCTGCAGCTATATTAGTAGTATAGTTGGGGCCCGAATGGGTCGGCTCGACCGGGGAAGGACCACGCTCTCACAGAATACCAGCGTAAAGCAGCAGCTTAACGCTGCTGTGTTTCGTATGGTGAGTGTAGAGAACTGGAAACCCTTTTTACTGGAAAAGGGGCATTCCATCTTAGTCCTCACACTGTTGCCTCCACAAATCCCTTATACCTACTTTAATGTCATCAACCCATCTCCTAAATGATCTGTCTCTTTTCCTTTTCTCGTATCTTTCTGTGCACGACGCAAACATAGCAATACCTCGAACGAAATGACTTACGGATTGCTTGTGGTAACCATCGCTAGTTGAACAACCTAGGGGCGGTGGGCGGAGCCATGAGAATGTTATGATCGTCGGGGCGCGCTCACGGTTCCACAACTAGCGGTGGTTGCCCACAACAACGCGGGAAAAGCCGTAGCAATAATATTAAGAAATATAGCTTTTATAGTTAAACAAATAATATTGTAACTATGTAATAACTCTCGCAATAAAGGCACCGAACAACTGGCGAGAGTTAACATAGATTTAGAATATAGAAATTAGTTAATGCCAAATTGTAGAATAAGTATTATATGTAAAATGTATTCCTTTGTATAGTGCAATTTAATTCCTTATGTATTAAGCCTTTAGGCACGATAAATAATAAACAG